CCTGATTTTAAGCATTTTGTTTAATTTTAAATTTATTTACTACATTTACAAATGTTGAGAATTGAATGGTGAATTCCATTTTCACTCAAAATACAAGCTTCAATCTTCATAGATGAGCGTACCCCGTTTCTTGCATAATTTGTACCATATACAAATTTTATTTGAATGCAAAATGGATACATCCATAAATTTTGAAACCTTTCAAAGTGTAGGAAATGAGCTTTAAATTCCAAAAAATAAGGATAATTGAGCGTGTAAGAATGAATTTGGGAAACACGTCAAAGGCATTATTCAAGACATAGTTTTCATTTTCATGAAAATCCATAGTTACCATAATTTCATACATGTTTGAAAGTGTAGGAAAAGAATTTAACATGTCAAAAAATAATGAAAAATAAGCTGTTAAAAATCAATTGAAAAATACGACTCATTACAGTATTCAGTATGAACCATTTAGTTTTATGGAAATTGAATGTTACCATTAAATTCTACACACTTTTTAATGTAGGAAACAAATTTAAAATTTCAAAAAAGCATAAAAAATAAGGTACACACATGTATGCAAACAATTAAGTGAAAAAGTGATGAATTAATTAAAAAAAACGTGTCAAATGCGGAATTCAAGGTATAGTTTTCATTTTGGGGAAAAATGGTTGATACCATCACTTTCTACATGTATTAAAGTGTTGGAAATAAATTTAAAACATCAAAAAATAATGAAAATTAAGCTGTAGAAATTTAAGTGAAAAAAACGTCAAATTCCAGTATTAAAGATGAACCGTTGAGTTTTGAAAAATTTGGTTTACACCATTAAATTCTACACGTATTGAAACCTAGGAAATAAATTTAAAATTTCAAAAAAACATAAAAAATAAGGTAAAAACATGTATGCATACAATTAATGGAAAAATAAGTGGAAAAAAAAAATTAATAATCAAAATTCATTTTCACGGAAAATGGTTTTTACCATTAAATTCTACACGCTTGGAAACCTAGGAAACAATTTTAAAAAATCAAAAAAACTCGAAAAATAAGCCGTAAAAAATTAATTAATAAAACCGCGTCTAAACGCGGAAACCGCGTGTGCTGCGGCGCATCAAAACCGCGTCAAAACGCGGAAAAACCGCGTTTTTTTATTAAGGCCCATTAATAATTAATTTTCATTATTTTTTCCCTTAGTCTAAGAGGTGTGAAATTTGATGGTAAAGGGTACCCCATTTATTGCATAATTAAATTACAACAAAAAAATTCAAAAGCAAAAAGAAATATGATTTTTTCCATTTTCCATATTTTTGGAGGGTCACAGGCTGCAAGCAGCAAAGGAAAAAAAAAATGAAAAAAATAAATAAATTGAAGGCTTGAAGGCCGCAAGAAATTCAAAATCAGTGTTTATGCAGCTTTCTGCATCTGGAATTTCCCCAAGAAACTTTCATTTTGCAGCCTGGGGGTCATTTTTGGGGCGGGTATCCGCGGGTATCTGCGCAGATACCCGCCAGGGCAAGAGGGTATCCGCCAGAGGATGCGGATGCAGATGCAGATGTCTGATTTGGCTGAAAACGTGAGCGGATATCCAAATCCGAACGGATATCCGGATGCACCGGGCCCATCTCTAGTTGAGATTTGATCTCAATCCCTCTCAGACAAGCGCAATGACTTACATAATCGGTTACATAATCAGTCCTATTCAGAATGACATCATCAAATCATCTCAACCCATCTCTCTTATATATTCCTCTCTTTCTCTGAACCCATTCCTTCTCCCCTCATGATTCCGGAAACATCACTCATTACTTCTTTATCGTTAGATTGAATTCCTCTCTCTCCAGCTTCATTGCTGTTGCTCTTTCAGTGTCACCCTTACATTCATCAACTTCTACTTCATCATCCTATTTATCCTTCTCTTCCTTATTCAAGAGTCACCTAACCATTCTATTAGACTCTGATTGTCACTCATATCTTTATGATCCTCTCCCTTCTATATTCGACTCTGCTGACTTCATTTCCCTTCCTTTTGACTCTCCGCAAACTATCTTACAAATCAGAACAGTCTATCCAATCATAGGTTACAATCACCTTTTTGCGCTATCGACTTGATTGCAGATCTCTCCTGACATTTTCCATTATTAGCTTTTCTCCTTTTCTTTTATTTCCTTGTTGTTGTCACGTCCTTTGTACTGTTGCTCCTGCCTTAAGGTACTATTTTGTACTGATCAAGAGATACAACCTTAAGTTTGATACTTAACAAATAAGCCCAGAAATTTCACCCTTGTATTGCTACATGACCAAATAAATGTCTGAAATTGATGAGATATATGCGTCACATAGAAATAAATGAAAAACCATCTACTCTTTTTCACCATATCTTCTCTGTCCTCCCCTGCCTCCTTCTCCTCTCTTTGGCTTCTTCTGATTCTTCTAACAGTCACACCTTTTCTTTTTAAAGCTCCATTTGCATTCAGTCTTTCTCTCTGCCTTTCTTTCTTTCTTTGTTTTCTATCTGCCTCTCTTGCAGTTTTACTTCCTTCCTTGTTTTGTTCACTCATTCTTCTTAATCATTTTCATCACCATAACAAACCAAATAACCCACCTTTCCTCTTCCTTTCAAATACCCTCTTTATTCCTTCTACTCTTATTTTTTGTTTGCACATCCTTTGTTTCCCATTCCAATCTCTTCCTCTTTTTTCTACACGTTCAAATCTCACATATATATTGATGAACTGTATCAGTTGCAGTGGCACCACCACAGATTCCAGGTATATTTTTCTGCAAAAGCTGTATGAATATGTGTATGTTTGTGGACCAATGATCAAACACTTGTATTATTTTCTGTCATCTTCAAAATACATCAGCTTCATGCATGTAATCTATTTCTTATTTCTCCTCAATTCAATTGATGTTGATCAAAATTCTCAGGTGAACAGCACACATTATCAGGGGGGGGGGGTGTAAGGCGGGTGCCAGGTCTGGGTACCCACCTGATTTTTAACCTCAAATGTCAACCCCTGCACTTGCACCCAGCACCTGTTTCTCGGTACCTGCTTTCGAGAACAGGTACCTGCAAATGGGTGCCGGGTACCCAGAAGCAGGTACCTGATGACGTCTCCATGAGTCTCCTGTCTGTTGCCCATTGTTTGCTTGCCCAAGTATTGGATTTCCCAGCCACTTGGATGCAGTAAGACACACATGAGACTCATTGAGTTCTGAAACTGATTGAATCCCCAAATTCTCTTCTTTTCTACTTGACCACCTGGCTTAGCTGGAATCAGAGTTAGAACACTACAGGCTAGCGGATGCCTTAAGTAGTACATACTACAAACCCTGACAGTATTTAGCTGAGGCTAAGTAAGTACATACAAGCACCATGACTGTTGGATCATCACTTGCTAGCAAGTGATATCAAGGAGGCTTTGGTGGAGCCTTCACTGAAGCTTTGGTGAACCTTGACTTTGTAAGTGTCCTAACCACCCTACCACCCCTTTGTCTAATAATGCAATATGCATGTGTTTTATGTAAGCTTAACGTGAAGTATGAACCAAGTTGCACATGCAGCCTCTTGATGTCTGCCAAGATTTCACAAACCATGTCATGCCACCACCAACCCCTGACGCTCAACACCCGTGGGTTCCATATGTGCATTAGGGGAGAGGGTTCACATTCCCTTCTGAGGAAGATTTCACAGACAATCAACACATTATGATCTTAGTAGGGTAAAATTTAATTAATGTTATCATCAGTAAGCTAGATCTCACATCCATATCAGAAAGTGACACCTTCCTTTTATTGTGATACACTTCTCAGTGAGTAACCCAGATTTTTTTTTTGGTGAAGAGGGCCACTTTGTGGACATGGATATATTCAATAAAAATCAGGAAGGCAAACAAAAAAGGAGAACCTCATTTGGGAAGAAGTCGCAGAATTCCAATATCACACTGTCATTGGTACAGGGGATTGTAAGCCCTGCTCCCCATGACTTACACAAACATGTCATTAGATTACATAAGCTCAGTTCTGCCTTGTATTTAGTCTCACCTTCCCCCTTCACCTAGATAGCAGAGATCCTTCTCTCTGGTCTAGGTGAGTACCCTGTCTTCCTTCCTTCTCTTCTCATTTCCATTTCTCACTTTCCATCATTTGTAGATACTAACAGAGAGATCCTTCTCTTCAGTCTAGACTGAAATAAAAGACATGTTCGTACTAGAATCTTCTCTGTGGACGCTATTGAGCTTCTTTTCTAGTGCCTCTCCGACAGACAGTGAAGGACTTGACGGAGTCCTTACAGGGATGCTGGAAAGTTTCCTAGAAGAATGAACTCTGATTTAGGCTACAAACCAAACTGTTACCAAAATGAAGGTGCCCCCCCCAAAAAAAAAATATATTGCCAATATGGAGAGAACACCAGCCCACTTGAGGCCAATCCTCCAGGCCTAGAACAGCTGCCCTTTCCTGGCCCTATATTCAATCTCAGGGGGCAAACTTTCTGAAAAGCCTTACCAGATTCTTGGGCGCAAAGGCCTCAATTACTCACAATCAGAATGATTGAAATTCGACTGTTGGGCAAAGGGATGATATTCTCGAATCATTTCATTCATACACACGTCACTTTTGGGTTGTTGATGGAAGGTCTACAGAGAGGGTTGGCTATCCAATGCCAGTCCACCCAAAAATTACATATGATATCTTCTCACCAATGTCGGTCTTCATTTTCTTTTTTTTGGGGGGGAGAGTATTCATGTGTCCTTTGTGGTTTGCCTTATGTACACACATGGAGGTCACCAAGAACACTCAGCAACAATATACACACTAACACCACCACAGAGATTGTGACGTATGCATAAGACCGACATAAATGTCCAATCAAGTGAGATTTGGAGAGTCAAAGAATGGTGTAGACCCTTTTCCAGAACAAAGAGACAAAAACAATACAGATATACAGTAGCAGATAAGATAGAGAAGTCAAGAAGAAAGATATTGTCAGTGACACGAGACATGTGATCTGGATCTCAGAAGGCAAAGGCGACAGCAGCGGCGGTGAGGAGACCGACGAGAGGGAAAGAGTTAGGTAAGGAAGGACTAGCGATGGAATGAGTTAAGTTACCCTCGGGGGAGGGCTGGTGATCGGGAGGGGGAGTCGTGGTCGAAGAGGCATTGGTGGTGGGAGGGGCGCCGTCGGCTTGGTGGGTGGGCGAGGTCGTAGGAGGATTAGATGAGGCGCCCGAAGCGGGAGCGGCCTCGCTCGACGAGTTGGAGGCCGGGGTGGATGGTGTGCCATTGCCAGCAAGTTGCGGCCCCGTTGCAGTGGCTGAAGAAGCAGCACTCCCTGGTGAAGCACTGGCACTACCGCGAGTTGCTGGAAGGGGAGGACACGCCTGTCTGAGCTTCTTTTTCTTTTGGAGATGTGCACGTCGATGGCTTGGTTAAGTGGAAGACTTACAAGGAGCTGGACACAAGCATTTTCCAGAAGACATGTCTCCGGGAACGGGTGCGCCGGAACCAGGTGGCGAGACGGACGAAGGATCTGATGAGAGGCCGGAGCCGGGAGCTGGGTTGGTTGAGCCATTAGGGCCTGGAGAAGGGATCCCGGAACTGTTTTTCTGACAAAGTAATAAATGGTAGCCCCAAAGGCCAATGAGATGTGGACTATGTTACATCAGTTGGAACGAAGATGACTTACAGTTGGAGTGATTAGGATCGCGTTGGTGGGGACGGCCCCGTTGGCCCCGACATCAGAACTGTTTTTCACAGCGCTCTGGAGTAAGAGCAGTGCGGTAAGCCAAGTTGATTGGAACGGTGACACTAGGGCTGGGAAGAAGCGAAGTGTGAACTCACATCTCTCATGGCCGGCTGCGGTTGGGAGACGGAAGCGCTACAGTGGGCGGCGAGGGCGAAGCTGATCAAGGCGAGGAGTTTGGTGTCGACAAGCATGGCGGCTAGTGTGTCTACTCTGAGGTATCAGGTTCTTCTTCCAGGTGTGATGAAGACGGAGTAAGCAGCGGATGGGAGTGGTTTATAAGATCACGGAGGAGAAGTGGCCTATGTCGGCTTGATGACTCGAGTGAGCTGCTATTTGAAGCCAAAAAAAAACCGGAGCCCGATGATGATCAACGACTCCTCAGACACCGCCACTGATCAATCAGGCAGAGCATGATGCGATACTTGGTCGAGAGCTATCAATGACGACTACTCTCTTGAGCCAGTCACCATCCTGACGCAGGTGTATTTACCATTTACGAATCGTTAAATGATTTGGTGATCTTTATAATCAGCTTTTGACCGAAAATCAAAAAAATGCGCGATATTCGAGTTCTTATGTTTTATAATCGTCTGCCAAGAGCATTACGATTTTCCAATTGTTGATACACCTTTTATAACATCTTGAGCTGATCCAGTACCCGCGTGATCAAGTTTGCTGATTTCTGGACATGTTAATCATTGATAGAGACATCTGCCATCCTTCTCATGAAGGTGATTGCTCACACTGCCAGTGCCAGGCGCCGCAATGACCAAGCGGCTGCTCCGTTGGAGCCGATGGAGGGGGGGCACCCGAGACCATATTTACGAGTAATTGTACTGCTGACGACTGCAGTGCAAGCTCGCAAACGTATTAACCCGCACAGCCACCACTTCCATGAGTCCCTAAAATTTTGTCCAGCTTGATTAATGTTGCCGACTTCTCCACCTCGAGGTGCAGTCCTACAATGGGGTTCTTCCCGGTCGGAGAAGGCTCACCAGAAGCAGCACTCGAAATGATCAAGGGAGATGTTTGACTGACTGCAGTGAGTAAAAGGTGTCTCAAGTCATCATCCTCGGATTTGCATGTACCAGGCGTGTGGAGACGATGTTTGGAGGTTGCCTCGTCGCGGATTGCGTGAGGACCGCGATGTAGAATTAGATGAAATTTGATCGGATAGCATCTTACTCTCCGGATTTAATCCGGTGGTAACAGTGGGGGACAAATTTATGTAAAAGACTGGTTCACGGAGCACGATCACGAAGAGAAGACTCAACAAAAACGAACACTCGAACGATCCTAGATACATAAGAAGATGACTCAACTCAAGGAAACTCTGAACGGGAACGACTCGTCGCTGAACCTGCTCAACTCGGCCGAAACAAACGGCCTGGGGACCATCTCATCCGATATCAACCCACCCCCACCATCAACAACAAAGCCGCAAACAAACTCTTCAACAACAACAACAACTTCAGATCGACAGCAACAGAATCGGAATCAGTCCTCGAATGATAGCAATCAGAATCAGTCTATCTGGCAACAATCCTCCCATCCAGTCGCACTCTTCTTCTTGTTCTTATTCAGATCTTTAGCTATTGCCACTTATGTGAGTATCTGATATACACATACACTGATCGAGACAAAACTCAGATTATGTACATGTACATCCACTAACCAAATCACGTTGCTTTTTCCAAAAAAAAAAATTAGTTACTATGTGGATTTTTCTCAGATTCGTATGTATTTTCAACAGTGATCGTGGTGATCCTACTCTCGATAGATTTCTGGACGGTCCGGAATATCTCGGGCCGAGTGTTGGTCGGCTTACGGTTCTGGAACCAGGTCGATGAGGATGGCAGCTCGTATTGGGTCTTCGAATCTAGAGACGTTCGTCCGGTTGATTTCCCAAGAATATAAAGATTAATTTGAGTATGTAAACTAATCATGCTTTTCTTGGACTTTCTATGTGTATAGCCTTCTCAAGCTGCAAATCCAGTCGATTCAAAGTGAGTCTTTGAACGATCTGAAAGATTGATTCCGAAAAGAAACAAACACCCCCCCAAAAAAAACAGAAGGAGGAGAGGAGCTGACTAGGATTTTGAATTCTGTTGATGGGTGGGAACAAAAAAAAAAAGGATGTTTTGGATGGCATTGTACACGTTCCCGGTAGTCTGGATCCTGCTTCTGTTTATCGGGATCATCAAATTCAACCTATCCTTCCTGCCGATCGTCATCCTAGCCCTAGTGTTTAACCTGACCAACACCATTGGCTTTACCTATGCAGTTGAGTCCCCAGAACACACACTCAAACCCATTTCAATCCTCAACTTATTCATTTGACACTAAATACTTATCAGGATCGCGACTCGAAGAGGAAATGGGCTAACGAACTCGGCTCCAGCGGGATCAATGGGCTCCTCGGTCAATTCGGCGGTGGTCTGTTGGGCGGCTTGACAAAAGTCGGGATCGGAAAATTCTTCGGATAATTTCTACTCCCTTCATCCATCTTCTTTGTTTTCCAAGCCCCCCCCCTTTTTTTCCTTGAACTCGACCTAATTATCAATTGTCTATAAAAACAAAAACAACAAAAAGTACAGCAAGCTCCAATTCCTCTCCTCAATCTTTTTCTTGTATTTCCTTCCTCTTCCATGTTTGTTTGTTTGTTTGTTTGTTTGTTCAATTCTTTTTTTTTTTTCGCTGGTGTTATTATCAGAGGTCCCAAATACTTGTTAAATATTCTTACCAATCCTTGCGTCTTTTGTTGTTGTTGTTGTTGAAAAAGAGAGACAGAAAATAGAAAAAAAAACAAGGAAGGTCAACTTGTCTAGAAATGCGAAAAATGGGATTTTTTCAAATGAGTTTTTGAGATATATTCTTGATCAATCAAGGTGGGGTGTTCTTTTTTGTCCCTATCGTCCATTTTCGTTGCTTGTTGAATGAGATGTAAAGTCATGAACAGATTCACAATTGGCCACATTGTGGGTCATAATATAGCACTTGGATAGAATCAGGAGTGTTTTGCTAGGGCGAATGTTTCCTGATGAGCCTAGAGGTATGGATGATGTATTCATTGAGATTGATGTAGTTGTAATACGAAGTTGAGAATTGAATATATGCACCATTGGCCCAGCAGCCGAGTTACATAAGCCCCGTCAAGACAAGACACTGTACACGCGCCAATTGGGAAACGAACGATAACCATCAAGTACAAAGGAAGAGCACGATGATGACCAGCATCCTCAGGACCCTGCGACGCCCGGAACGACTATGCCAATCCATAGCGATCCATCAGATCGCACCGCAACTGGCCAGTCGGACGAAGAAGGAGCGATCACTACCAGACGGGGAAGGACGGAGATGGGCGAGTGGGATGTCGAACCTGAAGCCGGCTAAGGGCTCCACTCATTCAGTCAGTCTCCTCTCACACTACCAACCCTGTGTTCTGCACTCTCCTACATCAACATCTCATCCCCTTTTTTTGGGGGTATTTGTGTGTGTGTGTGTAGAGGAAACGGGTCGGACGTGGGCAAGGGTCCGGGTACGGCGGAACCGCTGGACGAGGTCATAAGGGCCAGAAGGCCAACAAGGGAAACAGTCCTCGGCTCGGATTCCAAGGCGGACAAACTCCGTTGACCCGGCTGTTTCCTAAGAGAGGCGCCCACAATCCGTTCGTCTTACTTTCTTCTTCCTTCCCTCTCCCAAAAGACAAAAGAGAGAGATATGAAACTCATGAAGATTTTGTTTGTCGGAACAAATCGTCGATTAGGACCCAGGTCGAAATGTCTCCCTTGAATCTCTTCCAACTTCAACTCTGGATCGACCAGAAACGAATCGATCCTACCCAGCCGATCACGATGAAAGAGATGCTAGATTCGCGAATCGTGCATGGGATCAAGGATGGCGTGAAGTTATTAGGCAAGGTACGAGTGATCTTTTCCATATCGATACTGTTGTTCGATTGGGAAGTTGATTATTGATTTTTTTTTCAATGGATGATATATTATAAGGGTGCGACTGATTTCCGGACGGAGAATCTAACGATCATAGTATCGCGAGCGTCGCAGAGTGCGATTGAGGCGATCGAGCGGCTGGGCGGACGGGTGATCTGCAAGTTCTACAACCGACTGAGTCTCCGGGCGCTGCTGAAGCCCCACCGATTCGCGGCCAAGCATCGCTTCCTGCCTGGGGATGCCCATCCGGTCCGGAAGCAGGATTGGATGCGCTACTCTGATTGGGAGACCCGCAGAGGCTATCTCGGTAACCTCGAGCTGACTAATCAGATCCTCGATCAGGTCGCTCGTCGTCGTGCTAAACAAGGCTGGCTCTCGAGGGAACAACTCGCGAGTCATGTTCGGGCTAGAGTCCAATCTGATCAGGCTCCTCCTCCTCCTCCTACTTCATGATTGGCTTCTTGTTCCAAAAGATCTCATGCGTTTTCTTTTTTGTACTCTCCAAAATCATTCTTTCTTTTTTTGTTACTTTGTGAAAGTTATTTGCAAATCAATTTACATCTAATCGATGCTGGGTTTGCGTCATATACACCAAAAAAATACGTATTTTTATAAATGTACAAGAGATGCTGAGAGTGATGGGCAAGTTGAATTTATTGAGTGAGCTCCGCGCCCAATGATGAGGGATTTTACAGTCGGTTGATCGATCCCCTGGAGTGTGTGAGTGAGTGTGTATTGATGTGTGCTGCATGTGACTGGGCTTGTGGAGCTGGATGTTGTACATTGTAGTCCGATTGGCGTTTCTTCCCCCCCGTGGTGGCCCCGGTTGCAGTGAGACCGTCGATTGGGCAGTCTTATTCATCGTTTTGTGGTTTTGGGCATGGTTTCTGCCCAGCCCAGTCCAGTCTATCAGATTAGTAAAAAAACACAGCACTGCCACTTCTGCAAGCTCCCCAAAAACCCAACTGACTCCATTCACACTCTACTCCATCCTACATCACTACATCACTACTAACTACTACTACTACTACTACTACTACTACTACTCAAACAACAACATCATCATCATCAAAAACCATCAACCTCAATGCAATCCATCAAGTGTGTCGTCGTAGGCGATGGAGCTGTCGGAAAGGTACTTACATCATCATATCCCCACTACTCAAGCTCAGCCATACTGATCAGATTTTATTGGAATAAAGACTTGCTTGTTGATCTCCTACACCACCGTCAGTCATCCTTCTCTCTCTCTCCTTTCAATCGACCATCTCTCCTGATCCTGATCCATCTACAGAATGCCTTCCCTGGAGAATACATTCCAACCGTCTTCGACAACTATTCGGCTAACGTCATGGTCGACGGCAAGCCTATCAACCTGGGCTTATGGGATACTGCAGGTCAAGAAGTCAGTCTCTCTCTTTCTCTCAGAATCACCCCTCAGACTCTCTCTCCCTACAAGGACTGAACTGAACTCGGCCTTCGATTCCTTGTCCCCCGACCTAGGATTACGATCGACTAAGACCCTTGTCCTACCCGCAAACCGACGTCTTCTTGATCTGTTTCAGTCTCACTTCACCCCCATCATTCGAGAACGTTCGAACAAAAGTCAGTCCCATCATCATCAAACAACAAACAAACAAACAGCAACAACAACAACATCAACTCTTCAACATAGCCTCTTTTAAGCTGATGACACTTTGTTTGATCTAGTGGTACCCTGAGATCTGTCACCATGCTCCTAACATCCCCCTCATCTTGGTCGGCACGAAACTTGACTTGAGAGAAGACCCACTGACGATCGAGAAGTTACGCGAACGTAGGATGGTCCCGATCTCGTACCAGCAAGCCGCTGGAATGGCCCGTGATATTGCCGCCGTTCGGTTGGTTCTTTCCTTCCTCTTTTTTCCAAGACCCTACTCGACGCGATCGTTAACAACAGCTTCTTTTTTTCCCCCCGTATAGATATCTCGAGTGTTCAGCTCTCACCCAAAAAGGTCTAAAGAACGTGTTCGATGAGGCGATTCGAGCCGTCTTGGCTCCCGCGCCTCGTGAGAAGACGACAAAGAAACAGTCGAAAGGCTGCATGATTTGCTAAAGAACTTGCTTACTTCACTCGGCCCCCGCTCCGAAGATCCTTCTTCTTCCTCCTTCTCTCTTTCTTTCCAACTTATCGTCGTTTCTTTCTGATAATCATCTCTGACGCTCTCATCAACAAACAAACAAACACACATATACATTCTCATACACATCTCCTTTCTCTCTCTCTCCCTCTCTCTTCTTCTTATAGGCGGATCTCGTTTCGCATTCATATTCTTCAATGAGTAAACGATCGACTTCTTTGCACTTTTAATTCTTCCCCCCTTCCCCCATCCCTTCCCCCTCCTCCTCCCTTGAAACCATCCTTCTTTACCTACCCTCTACTACTACTCCATTATCATCCTCATCCTCATCTCCACTGCCAATGACTTCTTTTGCTGTGTTTTCTCTCTCTCTCTCTCTCCTCTTCTCTTTTATATCTTTCATTTCTTCATTACTATTGTTACCTTCTTCTTTTCTTTGATTACAATATAATCTTCTTCTTTTTTTCTATTGATATACATACTCTCCTCATCAGCTCATCATTTCTTTCCTTCTTCTTCATGTTGATCTTTTTTCTACTTATATATATATCTTCTTTCAAGAACCTTTTTTTCTTTGAATCAGACAGAAAATTAAACTAAACAAAACAGATTTGAACTTGTTTGTTTCTTTATTTCTTTGATCTTTCTTTTTTGTCTTTCCTTGTTTTCTGACTTTGTTTATCTCCATTCTATATTTATCATTTATTGTTTGTTTTTTTTTCTTATTTATCTTTATTTTTTTGATATATTTTTTTCAATCAATTATGAATATATATATATATATACAAATTTAAATAAACATTTTTCTTTTTCTTCAAATGGGTTTTTTTTCATTTTTTGAGTTTGTGTCCCCCCTTCCCTTCCCTTGCCCAACCAACCAACCAACCAACCAAAAAAAAAAAAACAATGATTGTTTTTGTTTCTTCTTTGAAGTATCTGGACAAAGATTGTTCAACTGCTTATCTCTCTCTCTCTCTCTCTCTGACAATACATTCATTGTCCTCTGAATTCTACAACAACAACAAGTATTCTGAATCCTATAGGAGACTCTCCTCTCCTTCCCCTTGCATCTACAACCTCCGCATTTAGATTGTCCTTTTCTGTGTGCTTTGTTGAAGACCTCTATCCTCCCTTTTTTTTTCAAAGCCAAAAAATCCTAGTCAATTCCAGTCTTTGTCTTGGTTTTTTTTCTTTCATACTTTTGTTACACTTTTTTTTGTTGGTTTCTTGGGCAGTTGCCAATGGGGGCACATTCATCTTCTCTTTTTTTTTGGGGGGGGGGGGATGAGACAGCAGGATATATATATGTTGAGAAATCAGCGGGGCAGGATGGTGTGGGAAATCTTAAACATACAATTTGCTTGTGGTTGTTCTTGAATCTTATATCAAACTGGGATCATTCACCCCCTCTTTTTT